TTCATTTATTCCTTTTCTGATGCTCTCCTTTCTTATGTAGAACCATTAGTTATCTATTGATAAAAAACTAACCAACCACAAAATTTACTGGCTTAAAACATTTACTAGCTTTAGTTTCTGCCGGTCAGGAAAATCTGGTCACTGCTTAACTGGGTCTTCTACTCTGGATCTCTCACAGGACTGCGGTCATCTTAGGCTCAGTTGGGAAGGATCCAGACTCACTCATGGTTGTTGACAGGATTCAATTCCTTACTAGTTGTTGGACTTAGGCTTCAGTTCCCTACAAGCTGTTGGCCAGAGGCCTTCCTTGTTTCTTGCCACATGAGCCTCTCTGTAAAGCGTCTTACAACATGGAGGTTTTGCTTCATCAGAGCGAGTAAGAGGGCAAGAGAAAGTGCCAGCAAGAGAGAACAAGCTAGCAAGACGGAAGTTATAATCTTTAGCAACCTGATTATGAAAGGGACATCCCATCACTTTTGCCATGTTGTATTTATTACACAAGTGTATGAATACCAGAAAGGCAGGGATCATTGAGAGCCATGTCAGAAGCTACCCATCAAACCCATGCCTAATGGGGCTATATCCTGTGTGAATCGTGTGTGTCCTAGGTTGAGGATATGACCCTCCAGAAAGGTTTTGCATTTCCTCCTCCCAGGCATTCCACGATAGAGGACTACATTTTATATTGTTCTCTGATTGAGTCTGTGAACACGTGGGTAGTGAAACTGAACTACAAAATTGCTTGATGTGTAAGCTTATAGATGAATTATCTGGTGAGCTTATATTATTTTTTCACATATGACTTGAGGCCAAGACAGACAAGCTTTCTTGTGATCTCTGTGTACTGGTGGACTTTTTAAAAATTTTAACCCTTTTACTGATGGTATGACCCCTCAAAGATCCTAGCTTTATGCATAGTTCTTAGTTCCTGCTCCTTACATAATTCAGCCCCAAAGCTTCATGACCTGTCCTCATGGGGATATTAAATCTCAAGCTTCCAGGTAACTGACAAGTTAACCCCCTTCACAGACTACCACTTACCACTCTAGTTTTCATGTCTTTTTTTTTTTCTTTGCTCTCACCATGTAGTTGCAAAGATTGTTTTAAAAATATAATCCAGCATTTCCAGGGGGTTTTATACTGGGAGGGCTTTTTGGTTATCTGTATATTGCCAAATTGGATGTCCTTCTATTTAATGTTTAAGCATCCATTTGTCAGCATCAAAATTAACGTGTATGTTTTCTTTTAACCGAACTTTTAACAGTTTTACTATTATCCCCATCATGTTCCATTGAAATAAACTGGAATTTTTGTTTCAGATTATGGCTTTTTTTTTTTTGAGATGGAGTCTCGCTCTGTGGTACAGGCTAGAATGCAGTGGCGTGATCTTGGCTCACTGCAACCTCCGCCTTCTGGGCTCAAGCGATTCTCCTGCCTCAGCCTCCCAGGTACCTGAGATTACAGGCACAGATCACCACGTCCAGCTAATTTTTTAATTTTTTTTTAGTAGAGACAGGGTTTCACCATGTTGCCCAGGCTGGTCTTGAACCACTGACCTCAAGTGATCCGCCCACCTCAGCCTCCCAAAGTGCTAGGACTACAGGAGTAAGCCACCGTGCCTGGCCCAGATTGTGGCATTTTTAATATTTATTTTGTATTTTAAAAGTATATTTTATGGCCAGGCACAGTGGCTCACACCTGTAATCCCAGCACTTTGGGAGGCTGAGGTGGGTGGATCACTTGACGTCAGGAGTTCTGAGACCAGCCTGGCCAACATGGTGAAACCCCGTCTCTACAAAATACAAAAATAGCCGGGTATGGTGGCACATGCCTGTAATCCCAGCTACTCAGGAAGCTGAGGCAGGAGAATCATTTGAACACAAGAGCCAGAGGTTACAACAAGCTGAGATAGCACCACTGTACTCCAGCCTGGGCATCGAGACTCTGTCTCAAAAAAAAAGAAGTATATTTTATGATTTTTTAATTAAGCTTCCATAGTCTTAAAAATCATTTTTAACAATTTCATTAAGCCTGACAGCTACTACCAATAACTGCTTTTTAACTGTTTTACTAAAATATTTTCTTAGCTTTGTTACATTGCTTGTTTTCTGATTTAATAGATTTTGTTTGTTTGTTTTTGGAGGGTATCCTTGAGTAATTCTTTGAGAATGTTTTGAGTCCTTGGATATCTGAAAATAGCTTTATTTATTTATTTTAAAATTTTTAGAGATAGGGTTTCACTGTATTGCTCAGGCTGGAGTGCAGTGACTATTCACAGGCACTTTCATAGTACACACTACAGACTTTTAACTCCTAGCCTCAAGTGATCCTCCCACCTCAGTCTCCCAAGTAAGTAGCTGAGATTACCAGTGCATGCTACCACACCTGGCAAATAGCTTTATTTTTGCTTTGACTTCAGTAAATATCGTTTTACTTGGGAACATTGACTACATGGCTCCATTATTTTTTTCCATCTAATGTTATATATAAGAATTCTGATGCTAATCCCAATTAGATGCAGTTCTCTACTACTTCTGCTACTTCTGATAGAAGGTTGTACTTTTTAAATCCTTTGGAAAACTCAATATCTTATAGTCTTTTTTCATTTATCCTGCTTCACATCTATTAGATCCTGTCTAAAGATTTTTATGGATTTTCATCTTTTGAAACAGGAATTTTTCTTCTTTGTGGGTTTTTTTTTGTTTGACGTGGAATCTCACTTATTCTTTTGCCCAGGCTAAAGTACAGTGGCATGATCTCTGCTCACTGCAACCTCCGCCTCCTGGGTTCAAGCAGTTCTCTTGCCTCAGCTTCCCAAGTTGCTGGGGTTACAGGCATGTGCCACCATGCCTGGCTCATTTTTTTATTTTTAGTAGAGATGGGGTTTTGCCGTGTTGGCCAGGCTGATCTCAAACTCCTGACCTCAAATGATCCACCCACCTCGGCCTTCCAGTGCTGGGATTAGACATGAGCCACCACACCCAGCCTATAGATTTTAATTGTTACATGTCTTCTTCATTTCACTGGGATTTAAAGAAGAAAATTATGTATATTTAGCCAGCCATTTGAAACCAGTTCTGTTGAACAATAAGAGCACAGGAGTAGGTAATCTTTTATATCGTCACATTAAAGCCACCAAGAAAAATAAAATGAAATGTTAAGAAAGAGTAGCCATTGAGTTAGGTATTTTTTTGTTTTTCTTTTTTTTTCTTAAGAGGCTGTACTGTACAGTGTTCCAAATAGATTCTTTTTAAAATTTTAACAAACACTATAAATAAAGAGAAAACGTAGGGAAGGAGGAAGACGGGAAGACAAGTTTGCAGACAGATCTACAGGGAAAACACTGAGACACTTTAATTTGTGTAGGATGATAAAAAGATGTATTTATTAAATATTTGCATCTGTGACACAAAAGCAAAATATGGATAATAACATTGTTAGGACTGGTACCCTTGGAGTTATAAAAATGGTGAACAGAATTTTCATCCATTTTATCATCTATGTTGGATGTGCCACATATGTGTCCATAAAAGTACCTACAAGTTTATGCCAAGTGAATCCTACAAAAAGATGCTTAGATCCCAGAGAATGTCTCGTAAGTGCCAAAGAGGATAGGTGTGCAATCTGTAGTAATACAAGAGACAGTGTGAGAGAACTTGACAGGAGGATACAGAGGACACTTCAAAGGACTTGACCTATTTATACAGGAGGTTGCAATTTTTTGAATTGCAAAATGAGACCTTGGCAACGACCTTGAGCAGTAGTATATAACTGCCACATGCTTAGTGTTCCAATAATGGAACACAAGGCATAAATGTGTTAAATTGGCTCTTAAAGAATGAGTACAATTGGATGAGTATTTAGGAGAATGGAACAGAAATAGAGGCAACACAGCATACTTATTAAAAATTATTCTAGAGGCAGATTGCTGAGTTCGAATTTTGACCATGTCACTTATTTGCTGTATCACTTTATTTTTTACTTATTTTTTTTAATGTGGCCTAGATGAATTAATGCTGTCACTTTGGAAAAATGACTTCTCTGTGCCTCAGGAACAAAATGAGAATAATAGAACCTACCTTTTAGAGTTGTTATAAGGAATAAATTAATCCACATAAAGCATTTAAGACAATTTATGGCATCAACTATAATTGTTAGTAGCCATGATTATCATCATCATCTTCATAGAAGGACATTTTGGAATTATAAATGGACAGATTGTATTCACTGACTAGTACATGAACCAACCTGCTTCGAATACACAATTCATACTGAGTCCACACCGTGGTGGTCTTGAATTCCAGGCTAAGAAATAGTTAATTATTCTTTTATTGAAGAGGAAACAAAGTTATATACAATGTCCTAAATTGCCTAAGTCTTTTTTTTTTTGGAGCAGGGGGGGGACCGAGTTTCACTGTCGCCCAGACTGCAGTGCAGTGGCACGATCTCGGCTCACTGCAACCTCCACCTCCTGGGTTCAAGCGATTCTCCCGCCTCAGCCTCCTGAGTAGCTGGAATTTTTATATTTTTAGTAGAGACAGGGTTTCACCATGTTGGTCAGGCTGGTCTCGAACTCCTGACCTCATGATCCGCCCACCTCAGCCTCCCAAAGTGCTGAGATTACAGGTGTTAGCCACTGTGCCCTGCCAATTGCCTTAAGTTTTAACTAAAAGGCCCAGGGCATTTGAACTTCCCTTTGTGTTTCTGTCCATTCTACAGGGATTCTGAATGAAACCACTATTTCAGGAAGATTTATTTCAGTAATATCCGTAAGGCCTAAATTTAGGTGATGGTGAGAGAAACGGGTAAGGAAAGGACAAGTTCCAAAAATGAATGGAATTGAACTAGATGATCCTTTGGTTCTTTTCTAGCCCAGACATCACTGATGACTTTCTTACCTCTCTAGGTTAGAAAATCTTTACATAATATGATGTACTGTATATAGTTTTTTATTTCCAGAATTTGTAATATATGTTTTTCTCATGTATGTTTTTCTACAGGTTTTAGATGGAGCAGGATTAGATATTGATTTCCATCTTGCCTCTCCAGAAGGCAAAACCTTAGTTTTTGAACAAAGAAAATCAGATGGAGTTCACACGTAAGTAATCTCTTTTAGTTCAGTTTCATTGCTGAATAATACCAGTGGGCTATCTGCAGGGCATGGAAAGTTAGCATATTTGATACTACATATCAATATTAGATAATTCCATATGATTTTAAACAGTTCATGATAGTGGGCCATCTGATAAACCAAAACATTTTCCATTAACCTTTCTATTTTTGTTTAAGCGTTTTCTTTTGATCCAGGCTAAATTTTTTCTGTGCTTTGGTTAGTAAATTAGTATTCCCCTGGTATTGCATTCAATCTATTGTGGCATTTTAAACCTGCCTTCTGGCCAGCACAAGCTTTCTATTTTAACTTAAAGCTACTGTTCCAGGTATATGTCTTAAAGTTTCTTGAGCTGCTGGCTATATACCATTTCTGTTCATAGTTTCTTTCTTAAAACAACAGTACAGTATATTTTTGTGTGTATGTAAATTTTTTGACTCAGACCTCATTCATTTTAGATAATCAGAAGGCCTGAGGCCAGGAGCTGTGGCTCACACCTGTAATCCCAGCACTTTGGGAGGCCGAGGCAGACGGATCACAAGGTCAGGAGTTCGAGACCATCCTGGCTATGATGAAACACCATCTCTACTAAAAATACAAAAAAACTTAGCCAGGCAGGGTGGCGGGCACCTGTAGTCCCAGCTATTTGGGAGACTGAGGCAGGAGAATGGCGTGAACCCAGGAGGCGGAGCTTGTAGTGAGCCCAGATCGTGCCACTACACTCCAGCCTGGGCAACAAAGCGAGACCATGTCTCAAAAAAGAAAAAAAAGCCCGAAAGCAAAAGAAAATACTTGTTTTAACTCTTTGAGTTCAGAATTAAGCAAAAGACCATATATTCTTCTGACACCTCACTTCCCTCTTTTCATATCTCACTGGTATTTTTCCCAGTTTCATTCTATTATCTTACTATAACATTTTCTTAAGTCAATATTGTTAATGTGTTAAACTGTGAATCTGTAGGAAGAACAAATATGGAGTATCTAGTATTTGCTCTAAACAAGGGTTGGCATGTTATATGCTTCTAAATTAATCTTTCCAACCCACTATGAGATAGAGTCTTTGACTCAAGATTCCCATTTTATAGACAAGGAGGCCCAGAGAAGTCAAATAAGTCTGCAGGGATACACATGCAGGGTGGAGACAAGATGGACCAAAACTCTTGCTTTCTACCATATGCTTAGAACATCCCTGGCACATAACACTATTGTAAGAACTAGCTATTAAAATTATTGGTCTTTGTTAACCAAAGTGCCTGATACATAATTGATACTCAGTAAACACTGAATACATGTATGAATGGATGAGAGGAAAAAAGTCTCAGTAATTTTTTAAGATACTCATTTAAAATACATTTTTAAATGGCATTTTACCTATGCAGAGCTCAGAAAAATATTTGCATAAGCTATTACTAAATACGATAGAAATAGTAATTGTAAAAGTCAGTTTATATTGATATGCTTGGAATTAACTGTTTTCTCTTTGATAGATATATAAGAACTAAAAATGGGCCCGGCACAGTGGCTCACGCCTATAATCCCAGCGCTTGGTGAGGCCCAGGTGGGTGGATCATGAGGTCAAGAGATTGAGACCATCCTGGCCAATATGGTGAAACCCCGTCTCTACTAAAAACACAAAAATTAGCTGGTCATGGTGGCGCACACCTGTAGTCCCAGCTACTTGGGAGGCTGAGGTAGAATTGCTTGAACCCCGGAAGCGGAGGTTGCAGTGAGTCGAGATCACACCACTGTACTGCAGCCTGGCGACAGAGACTCCATCTCAAAAAAAAAAAAAACCAAAAAACTAAAAATATAGTTCAAGTTTCAGAAATTTTAAAATGTTCAAAATTTATATCAATCTTTATTTCTCCCCAATTATTTGCTCCCTTTTTGAGATAATAAAATTCACTGTTAGAAAAATAAGTATCTTACTGCTTCCTTGTGAATTACCTCTCATTAAATAATTGGGAGAAAAGAATTGAGTTTATAATAGTTCACATTTATTGCATTCTTTTGATGTGCCAGGCCAGTGTTCTCAGCACTTTTCATGTACTGTTTTTTATTCTTAACCACAATCCTGAGGTAAATACCATTTTACCGATGGGGAAACTGAGGCATAGAACAATTAAGTTGCTGAAGGTTACACAGCTAGTAAACAGCAAAGCCAGGATCTACATTCAGGCAGTCCAACTCACTCTTAATCATTACACCAGATTTACAAATCTATTTTTTTTTTTTTTAGATGGAGCCTCGCTCTGTCACCCAGGCTGGAGTGCAGTGGCGCGATCTCGGCTCACTGCAAGCTCTGCCTCCTGGGTTCACGCCATTCTCCTGCCTCTGCCTCCCAAGTAGCTGGGACTATAGGTACCCGCCACCATGCCCGGCTAATTTTTTGTATTTTTAGTAGAGACAGGGTTTCACCGTGTTAGCCCAGTTGGTCTTGATCTCCTGACCACGTGGTCCACCTGCCTCAGCCTCCCAAAGTGCTAGGATTACAGGTGTGAGCCACTGCACCCAGCCTACAAATCTGTTTTTCAAACATTAAACAAAGCTTTTATCTGTAGCTATATTAATTTTGTAAGAGCAGCAAAAATCTCAGTATGTCACTGGTTTTTCTTAAGTAGTCTTTTTTTCTTTTAAATGTAATTTCTTTTTTTAAAGACAAGGTCTCACTCTGTTGCCCAGGCCAGAGTGTAATGGTGTGACCATAGCTTACTGCAGCCTAAACTATTGGGCTCAACCAAGCCTCCTGAGTAGCTAGGACTACAGGTGTGAACCTGGCTAATTTTTTAATTTTTTGTAAAGACAAGGTCTCACTTTTGCCCAGGCTAATCTCGAACCCCTGGCCTACAGTAATCCTCCTGCCTCAGACTCCCAAAGTGTGTGATTATAGGTATGAGCCACTGTACCTGGCCCTACTTTTAACTTTTGCTAATATGGGAAACTAATTGTAAGTAGGGTACTGGTCATTCAGATATTATTGATTTTTTTTTTCAGCACTAGGCATAACTAATGATAGGCTGAATTACCCTTATAGAATTAATAAAATATAAACTAGTTTTATTTAATTCTCAAAGCATTTAGGATTAAACATAAACATCTACAAGGGAACCAGTGATAGTCAATAAGCAAAATCAGTAAGAGGCCTGGAAGAAAACATGTAGGATAATCCATCACTGCTTTTGAAAACAAAACTCAGTTTAGATTAATCTCAATTTTCGAAGGGTAGGTTGGCAGTCATATCTGCATATGAATTGAACTCATGATAAAATACTTTTAATAGTGTATAAATATTAAAGTTTATTATGAGTTATGTATACAGGTTTTTAATTCTATCCTTTTCCAAAAATGAGGTCACTAACCATAATTTACTAAGTAAATGCCAAGCATGTCTAAGTTGTACTCGAACGTATATATTTTCAGGTTGCTTCATTCCCAAGAAATTATAAATTATCTTTCAATACTAAGGAAATTCATGAGTAAGCTGTCCAATTATTATAAACTATGTTATTTCTTTGTTTTTGTTTTGTTGAATTTTTTGTTTGTTTTTATTTTTTTGAGACAGAGTCTCCCTCTGTTGCCCAGGCTGGAGTGCAGTGGCGCAATCTCAGCTCACTGCAACCTCTGCCCCTCCAGGTTTAAGCAATTCTGTGCCTTAGCCTCCGGAGTAGCTGGGATTACAGGTGCATGCCACCACACCCGGGTAATTTTTTTGTATTTTTATTAGAGACGGGGTTTCACCATCTTGGCCAGGCTGGTCTTGAACTCCTGACCTCGTGATCCATCCACTTCGGCCTCCCAAAGTGCAGGGATTACAGGCATGAGCCACCGCACCTCTTGAGACAGGACCTTGCTCTGTTGCCCAGGCTGGAGTGCAGTGGCATGATCATGCCTCACTGCATCCTCAACCTTCCGGGCTCAAGCAATCCTCCCGCCTCAGCATCCCCAGTAGCTAGTTCTACAGATGCCAGCCACAATGCCCTAATGTTTGTATTTTTTTTGTAGAGACAGGATTTTGCCATGTTATCCAGGCTGGTCTCAAACTCCTGAGCGAAAGTGATCTACCAGCCTTGCCCTACCAAAATGCTGGGATTACAGGCGTGAGGAACCACACTCAGCCTGTTAGTTCTTTCTTTTACCTTCTTTTACCTTTAGTTGCTTTTCATCACAAACAGAAGTACAAGTAACTAAAAACATGTACTTTTTTTTATACAGTGTAGAGACTGAAGTTGGTGATTACATGTTCTGCTTTGACAATACATTCAGCACCATTTCTGAGAAGGTGATTTTCTTTGAATTAATCCTGGATAATATGGGAGAACAGGCACAAGAACAAGAAGATTGGAAGAAATATATTACTGGCACAGATATGTTGGATATGAAACTGGAAGACATCCTGGTCAGTATGGTCTTCTAATAAAATAAAAAGTATTAACATCCAGAGCCCTTAGTATGGTAATGGTTACTGAACTAAGCATTTTATCTGCATTATCTAGGAAAATCTGTTTCTAATATTTTATTTTTGCCATAAATACTTTGACCTCCATTTCAAGTATCAGCTTAATTTTACTTTGTATTCATATAGCCCTTTTATAGTTTTCAAATAACTTATCTTCTAGGACCCTATTATAAAAATAGCTTTTTTCAGATGTGCAACTAAGACTGCATCTTGGTAAGTTTGTTTTATAAATGTGCAGTTAGAATTTTTAAAATTATAAATAGATTATGCTTCTGATTATACAGAAGGCACATGAAAAATAAAATGTTTTCTAATTTCACAACTATTTTGTGGTATTAAAACATTGGGTGTTTTACTGAATACTAAATTGGTCAGATTAACATACAAAGAAGGAAATATAAACACATGCATCATGTAATAGGTAAATACCTAAAGTTGTATCTGTTGGGTTTTCAAAAAGGAAATCATTTGCCAGGCATGGTAGCAGGTACCTGTAATCCCAGCTACTCAGAAGGTTAGGGGGAGGATCATTTGAGCCCAGTTTGAGGCTGCAGTGAACCATGGTCACAGGTATAAATAGATACTACACTCCAGCCTGGGCTATTATATAGCAAGACCCCATCTCTAAAAACTTAATCATTTGGCCAGGCACAGTCTCAGGTTGCAGTGAGCTGAGATTGTGCTTGGGTGAACTCTGTCCCCCTGACAAAAAAAAAAACAAAACCTTAAGTCATTTCCTTTGGTTGTGTGAGGGCTAAGAAACAGATAATGTATGTAAAACTCCTGATGCTATGCCACTCAGAGTTTCATGTTACCTATTTTCAATTCACAGTAGCTTTGTTCCCTTGTTAAATAACTACTTATAAACAGTATAAATATGTCAGGAGAATTATTACATAACCTTACAGAGAATCTCTAATATAAATAGTACCTGCCCCTCAATTGTGCAGCCATCTATCTTAAAATTGTGTTTGGATAAAAAACATAAAGCATATTTTGAAAAAAAATATTTTTGAGACAGGGCCTCACTCACTCTGTTGCCCAGGCTGGAGTGCAGTGGCACCATTATGGCTCATTGCAATCTCAACCTCCTGGACTCAAGTGATCCCCCACCTCAGCCTCCCAAGTAGCTGGGACCACAGGTGGTGCTACCACGCCCGTCTTTTTGTAGAGGCAGAGTCTCTCCGTGTTGTCCAGCCTAGTCTTGAACTCCTGGGCTAAAGGGGTCCTCCTGCCCTAGTCTCCCAAAGTTCCAGGATTACAAGGCATGAGTCACTGCACCCAGCCTCATTTTTTAATTAAAATTTCTGAGCATTCTTTAATAAAAAAATTATTTTATTTATCTCCAGGAATCCATCAACAGCATCAAGTCCAGACTAAGCAAAAGTGGGCACATACAAACCCTGCTTAGAGCATTTGAAGCTCGTGATCGAAACATACAAGAAAGCAACTTTGATAGAGTCAATTTCTGGTCTATGGTTAATTTAGTGGTCATGGTGGTGGTGTCAGCCATTCAAGTTTATATGCTGAAGAGTCTATTTGAAGATAAGAGGAAAAGTAGAACTTAAAACTCCAAACTAGAGTACTTAACATTGAAAAATGAGGCATAAGAATGCAATAAACTGTTACAGTCAAGACCATTAATGGTCTTCTCCAAAATATTTTGAGATATAAGTGTGAAACAGGTATAATTTTAATGTGAAAATTAAGCCTTCACTTTCTGTGCAAGTAATCCTGCTGATCCAGTTGTACTTAAGTGTGTAACAGGAATATTTTGCAGAATATAGGTTTAACTGAATGAAGCCATATTAATAACTGCATTTTCCTAACTTTGAAAAATTTTGCAAATGTCTTAGGTGACTTAAATAAATGAGTATTGGGCCTAATTGCAACACCAGTCTGTTTTTAACAGGTTCTCTTACCCAGAACTTTTTTTGTAAATGTGGCAGTTACAATTAACTGTGGAAGTTTTCAGTTTTAAGTTATAAATCACCTGAGAATTACCTAATTATGGATTGAATAAATCTTTAGACTACAAAAGCCCAACTTTTCTCTATTTACATATGCATCTCTCCTACAATGTAAATAGAATGATAGCTTTGAAATACAAGTAGGCTTTTGAGATTTTTATAACCAAATATATTTCAGTGTAACATATTAGCAGAAAGTATTAGTCTTTGTACTTAGCTTACGTTCCCAAAAGCTGACATTTTCACGATTCTTAAAAACACAAAGTTATATTTATTAAAATTAGGACATGTTTTCTCTTTGAAATGAAGAATATAGTTTAAAAGCTTCCTCCTCTATAGGGACACAGTCTCTCTAACCCTTAACTAAAGTGCAGGATTTAAAAATTAAATGTGCGGTAAAGTAAGTTTATTTTTAATATTATCTGTCAACAGTTAATATCTGTCAACAATTAATAATCATGTTATGTTAATTTTAACATTGCTGACTTGGGTAATTCATTATTACCAGCAGTTGTGAAGGAAATATTGCTAAAATGATCTGGGCCTACCATAAATAAATAGCTCTTTTTCTGAGTTCTAAGAATTATCAGAGACAAGAAAGAATTTAGAAAAACTTGAGGACACCGAATCCAAAATAAAATTCACTTAAGTAGAACTATAAATAAATATCTAGAATCTGATTGGCTCATCATGACATCCTACTCATAAATCAAAGGAGATTAATTTCCAGTTAACTGGAAGAAATTATTTGGCTATAGGTTTTTATTTTCAACAAGAATTCTGGTTTGAATTATTGTTTGTAAGCAGGTACATTTTATAAAATGTAAGCCCTACTGTAAGATTTAGCACTGGGTGTACATATTTATTAAAAATTTTTATTGTAACTTTTATAAAATGGCCTTTCTGAACACTTTATTTATTGACGTTGAAGTAAGGATTGGAAACATAGACTCCCAAGTTTTAAACACCTAAATGTGAATAATCCATATATACAATAAAGTCTCTGCCATCTAGTTTTTTGAAGTCTATGGGGATCTTACTCAAGTACTAATAATTTAACTTCATCATGAATGAACTATAATTTTTAAGTTATGCCTACTTATAACATTGTTTATGACTACATTGTTAGAAACAATCAAACAAAATTTGGGGTATAGAACCCCTCAACAGGTTAGTAATGCTGGAATTGTTGATAAGCAATAATGATAACCAGAGACAGTGATTTCATTTGCACTCAGAGTAGTATAAAAGGAGATACATTTCCCTCCTTAGGCCCCCGGGAGAAGAGCAGCTTAGATTTCCCTACATGCAAGCTTTTTAAAAATGAGGTAAATGCCATATATGATCAATTACCTTAATTGGCCAAGAAAATGCTTCAAGTGTCTAGGGGTATCCTCTGCAACACCTGCAGAACAAAGGTCAATAAGATCCTTGCCTATGAATAGCCCTGCCTTTTGCCCTTTCTGTTAAATTTGTAATAAGAAGCAAATTTACAGTACCATAACTAATAAAGCAGGATACATATATAAACTACTGCATCTTTTCTATAAAACTGTGATTAAGAATTCTACCTCTCCTGTATGGCTGTTACTGTACTGTACTCTCTGACTCCTTACCTAACAATGAATTTGTTACATAATCTTCTACATATATGATTTGTGCCACTGATCTCAAACCTATGATTCAGTAACTTCTTACTATATAAAAATGATAATGGCTTTATTTGGAAAAGAATTTAGGAATATTTAGGACAATTACTTTTACAGACAAAGTAAAAAGACTGAGATATTTAAGAGGCATAACCAAAAAAGCAATATTTGTAAACAGAGTAAAAATCTTTAATATTTCTAGACATACTGTTTATCTGCTTTATATGTTTTTAATTTCACTATTCCATTTCTAAATTAAAGTTATGCTAAACTGAGTAAGCTGTTTATCACTTAACCGCTCATTTTGTCTTTTTCAATATACAAATTTTTAAAATACTACAATATTTAACTAAGGCCCAACCGATTTCCATAGTGTAAGCAGTTACCATGTTCACCTCACACTAAGGCCTAGAGTTTGCTCTGATATGCGTTTGGATGATTAATGTTGTGCTGTTCTTTCACGTGAATGTCAAGACATGGAGGGTGTTTGTAATTTTATGGTAAAATTAATCCTTCTTAAACATAATGGTGTCTTAAAATTGACAAAAAGTGAGCACTTACAATTGTATGTCTCCTCAAATGAAAATTCTTTATCTGAAATTTTAAAAGAAATTGATTCAGCATGTAAGGATTTTTCATCTGAAGTATAATAATGCACAATCAGTGTTGCTCAAACTGCTTTATACTTGTAAACAGCCATCTTAAATAAGCAATGTATTGTGAGTATTGATCTGTATATAATAAAAATTATCAAAGAAAATGACCAGTCATTTGTAAATGCTGTCTACTCCTGAAAGCCTTCCTTCATCTCAATCTTAGTTAATAATGTGCTCTCTCCTCCTGTTTTGAAACCTCATAGCTCTCTACACCTCTTATTGTACATCACTCTACTTTGCATTGGAGTTCTGTTTCTTTATGTACTTATTCACCTGCCTAAACATGCATTGTTCCTAAAAGGTACAATTTTTGCTCCAACTATATGAAAGGAAAGATAATCAGTTTTTAAAGTTTGGACCCAGGGAACTTACCCTGCTAAATAAGCACCCAGGGAACTTACCCTGCTCCTCTACCTCACCCCAGAAATTGATTATTTAGGTCTGGAATATGGCTCAGGATTCTTAATTTTTAACCAACACAATATAGAATCCTGTCAGTTATCCTTGGGTCATCTGCTTAGTGATCTTGTAAAATCAAAACTCCTTTGAGGCTATTTCATTTTCAGAAATATTTTAAGTAACATCTTAAAGCTTGTTAAAATAGCATATAGGAAAGTACAATGCTTGGTGTAGATAGGTTATTATTTGGTCATTTCCCTCAAACCATCCAGACAAGCCACTCTTCTACCACAAGCTGGTAGAAATCCTTAGGCACCTTTCTGCTTCTGCACTGCTATCACTTTCAGGTGTCTAAGGCTTCTGGAAGGCTGCTGTCATAACCTGGAGCCATACACCTAATGTATGTCTGGGGAAAGGACACCGATTAAAGAATCTGGAGCTAGGATGATGTTACATAAGAGGGGGCACATGGAGATGGACTCTGGATCCCTGCATCTGAAAGAAAAAGGCAAGAAAATGCAGTGCAGGGAAAATCCTGGAGGTCTTCACTGACCATGAATTAAAATCCTAATTGACAGTTTTACAAAAACCCTCCTGTTTTAGTACTTGTTTTTGTTTCTGTTTTAACAAGCTTAGATTTATTGTTGTGCCTTTTATAGAATATGAGGAAGAAATAGGAAAGCAGTAAAATGAACAATGAGAATCTGTTATCCAAACTGATACAAACTCCCTCAGAAAGAAAGATACTACTCCCCAATCCTGGAAGTGTTAAGTGGCAATAATGATCACATGTTGTAAAGGAGATTGTTAACTACGGCTAGTATCAAATGGGAGGCTGGAGTAAATCTAACCTTTCTTCCCTTGATTTCAATTCTAAAAGGACAAGTAATACCATTGCAGAAAGAAAAGACAGTTCCAAATGATAAATTTTAGAGTTGTTTTGCTAGGATGCAAGAGAAATTGGATAAGTGGACCACTCATACGTTGCTGGTGAGATATGAAATAGTAGAGCTACTGTGGAAAATATTCTTGGCAGTTTCTTATAAAACTAAACATGCATTTAACATATAACCTGGCATTTGTACTACTTGACAGTTATCCCTGAGAAGTTAAAACTTAACATTCACAAATGTTACATAGTACCTTCATTTACAATAGCCAAAACCCAGAAACAACCTGGATGTCCTTCAAAAAGAGAATGAATGGTTTAGTATGTCCACACCATAGAATACTAAAGAGTAATATGAAGGAACAAACTACTGATACATGTAACAAATTGGATGGACCTCAAGGGAATTATGCTTGGGTGGTTTGGGGGGACAATCCTAGTTTTACACACTGTATGATTCTGTTTTTGTAACATTCTTAAATAATAAAGCAATAGAGATGGGAAACAAGATTCTTGGTTCAGGTCTTGGGACTGAAGGGAAGGAGAATGTGGCTATAAAGGGAGCCTTGTGGTGGAAAAGTTCTGTAGTTTGATTGTGGTGATTACATAAAGATACATGTGAAATGTTAGAAGTATTTATAGCTGAAACAGATATTAGTATGTTGGTATATACATATTTCTGAATGACTAATTACTTTCGCCATGTTGCCCAGGCTGGTCTCGAACGCCTAAGCTCAAGTGATGTACCCACCTCAGCTTCCCAAAGTGCTGGGATTACAGGCGTGAGGCACCATGTCCAGCCTGTTTTTTCCTATGCATACATAATTATGATCAAGTTTAATTTGTAATTAGGCACATTAAGAGATTAACAATGGCTAACAAAATGGAGTAATTGCAATAATATATTGTAATAAGTTATGCAAATGTGGTTTCTCTCTCAAAATATCTTGTACTCACCCTTGTGAGGTTGTGGGATGTCATACAGTGCCTAAACAAAGAGATGAAATGCGGTGACTGATGTAGGTGTAAGTGATGTAGTTAGGCTACATTATCATCAAAATAGCTTCGGGTGATCCTGGATCACTAAGCCAAGGTAATGTTGATGGTTAAGGATCAGACAATGTTGATGGTTGGGGATCCTCAATAGGTGAAGGATTTCTCTTTTGGGGGTCTTTTTCCTGAAAAATTTTGGAAGAACACTGTAACCAGAAGTTGTTGACACTTTTCAGCTCATCGAAGTGTTGCTGCAGAGATTATAATCCTTTGGTGATCATATTGGTGACTTTAATGCTGTGTCCCATCTGAGGATCATATTCTATAATTCTGTTCTTTAAT